GATAGATCATATGATGACACATCATGAAGAAGGTGGGATGATGATGATGGGAATTGTATCTTGTAGCATTGTCTAATACTAGATATTGTCAAGATTAGCCAGCAAATGACAATATTATCCAACACAAGGATAAAATTTGAAATAACACATTCAGCAAACAAATTTAGGGCACTTCTGGAAAATCTAGTGGGTTGGGTTAGGTCAAAAATAAAGTGCATACTTTCGATGATGATTCCTTAACATTTTCCATGCCACCTAGCTGGTGTCAAGAGTAACTAGTTAATGTTGACATAGCCAGATTTTGGTCTCTAGTCATTTCACATAGATGGATGAATATGTGTACCCCACAGAACCCATGAATTGGAGGATACACAATAATTCATCATAACATTGCAGAACATTTTCCAGGAATGGAATAAATCACATTGTTATCAATTGCTTGTCATTTTTACATGAAGTTAAAAAAGATGGAATTTCACTGCACTTAAAAGTAGGTTATTAAAACGATATAAGAATCACATCAGGGAATTGCCATTTGAATAAAATTACATACAAATTAACCAGTTGAAAGAGCATGTCATTCCCTCCCGAGTAGGCTTAAATCAGGTCTTTCATGGAACCAAAGATTTGGTAATTTTGAAGTAGACTGTCATGCAGATTTTTTGGTGAATTACATTACAAAAAACAGGTGAACTTGTTTGGTTCTGTAACAGTTTATTAAGTACAATGGAATCTGATACACATTTGTCTGCAGGCCCTAGGATCACTGGTTCGTCTGTAAGCAGTGGACATGCTCTTTGCCATGTGGAGAAGAGAGATTTGTGTCAGCTGTACACTTTCTTGCTGCTCCTGAGGATCTTACCAAGGTAACTGGACTTCTAATGTCATGTCTAAATGCTCTTAAATGTCAGGTAACAGGCCAGTACAGGTTATGATTTGTTTGTGGGTTAGTAGCCTCTGGGATATATAATGTTAATTGCTAACAAAAATAATTCAGTGTACCACCAATGAAGTAGATAAATTAATTCTTTTAATTAGCTATAAGCAGTGACAAGACATGTGCACATTTATATCATACAAAATAACATTCAGATGTAAAACAACAAATGAGCTCTACATTGACTTCATGTTTCTGATTTGGCTTCTTCTGTGTCTTGTAGTTTTGGACCACTCAACAGCTTTTGCAGGATGGAACTGCGTCATTGCCTTTCATTATCTGAGCATTTTGATCCAAAATAGGCCATTGGGAAAGGAGAGACATTCATCTCACAAGTGCATGCCAAGTAAATTTCCTTGGGCCCTTTGTCTCTTAATTTCCTCTTCTGTGCCAGTTAGGGCTAGCCTATTGAGAAGACTTCTGCCACTAATTTGTACCAAATATTTGTATTCCTTCTTTCTAATGCAGTTGTACAGAAATCTGCTTCATCTCCCAGCTGTTGACACATTAAAACTGCAACAAAGAAAAACATTTGTTATAGGTGATAAATGCGTGTGTGAATCATTTGTCAAGTCTGCATCTTCTGTTTGCCACACAAAGGAAATCTTGATCCATCTGTCACTTATTCCATGGAGCTAGGTCCTTGAGAAGCCACCAATAGTCGGTCACTCAGCAACTCCAAAAATTTCCAACATTTCACAGAACCCAAAGATTTATTACTGTGTAGGATTTGACATTTTCATGCTGGTGAGTCTGAAGATGGCTGTCTTCTGGGTTGTTGGTAGAAGTGTACTAACGATTCAGAGGTCTCTGCTGCCTTTGTCATCAGGGTGATGAGTAAGGCACACAATTGGAAGTCAATGAAGAGCCTTGGCATGACCAGTGCCGAATGGAGTCAGAAATGTGAGGGCCTGGGAACTAACACGAGCAGGGCATGCCACACCTTGGCCAGCAGGATGGAAAGGGACTTGAGAGGGAGAGGTCTGAGAAAGCGGCACCAGCGCCACATCCGGCTGGACCAGCTGGATAAATCCGCTGTGGCCGAAACATCCCATACAGCATTGCCAGTCTTGCCCAGGCCAATAAGCCACTACCCTGCCCTTTTCAGGGCACATCACATCGACTCACCTCTCATATGTCAGTTGATCCTATGGCAGGAACCTGAGGAGCCCTTATGAGAGCCCCCCATGTCCCCAGCTCCTATTCGTTCCCAATCCCCACTGCCAGTCTCCTATAACTAAGTTTTTCCATTACCCTGACGATGGAGAGGACCTCTGAAGCATTGGCAAACTTCAACCAGACTACAGGAGCTACAACAAAGAAGACAGCCATCTTCAGACTCACCACAGTGAAAACCACAAATTATACTTGGTGCACACTTGGCTACCCTGCCAGCGCTACTCGATATATATAAAAATGTTTATCTATTACCCTCTACCCTAAGTCATCCACGTGTTCATTCCTACTACAATAGTAATATTTCCATCAGAAGTACAACCACAGCCCGCTACAGACTGTACTGCATCGAAGATGAAAATGCTATTTATATATTTCTTTTTCTAGGACCACCATAACTGATACTGGAGAAGAAACTCGGTGCCATCTGTGCAGGGAGAAGTTCTACGTTGCGCACTACACGGACGGTCTCGAGTTCAGACCACCATCTCCATCACTCGGGCTGCATTAGCGAGTTTCTCTGAAGCCAACATTAGCATCGTCAAGTGGAAACCTCCAGAACACTTATTACATGCTGTATAATTATGTTAATGTTGGTACCATTGTCTGTAATCCATTGTATTAGTTGCTCGCGAGTACAGTGTTTTTGAATGTTCTCCCCTTTTACCTGGCGACGGAAATAGTTTCCAAAACGTCTTGTTCGAGAGAAACAATAATAATAATAATGTCTGTTGTAATACCAGTCATATACATTGAGAGTGCAGTGATGGAAACATGATGCCTTGTAGTTGTATGCTTACGAAATAATAAAGAATATATAGAATGATACAGAATATGAAGTGTTGTTGATGAACCACCTGAAGTACTTCCTTCATCCCTCTGAAGTATAGCTGTGGCAAGTAGAGTAGGACTAGTAGCTGGGGGAGAGGACGATACTCACAATTCATCAGGAACTTCCGAATGTTTACTACCAGTTGTGGCCTCAGTAGCCAAGAGAGCTAAGGCATGGACTGCTGAGAGCTGAAGCTCAGGGCTTCTATCGGGAAGATCGGCAGTTCAAAACCTATGGGATCCAAGAAAAATTTTAAAGTCCAAGAACAACTTCGCAATATATCAGGAAGTTCCGAAATTATATCTCTTAAGAAACAGCGGCGGCCTAGGGGATAAGACAGCGGACTACAAGACAGCAGACTACTACCATCCTGAAGATCAGCAGTTCAAAACCAACCTCTACCACAATTGAAAAAAA